ATAGAATCTTATCGACCACAAACACTAAGACAACCATACCTCCCAAGCGTCATGTATCTGATGGAGATGGTGTTGGAGGGAAACTCAAAGGATGCAGCTATAAGAATACACATACTCTATGCTAATCTCTCTCTAAGTTATTCTTTCACCTTTCAAGTAAATCCATACCCCCTAACAGCAGTGTCCAGTGAAGCAGGAAGTCAATGGGTGCGGTATAAGGGTGTGCCACTGATGCAATTCACGTAACCATAACTGCGGAAAGGGGCGAACATGCCCAAAAAGGGGGCATGTCTGCCCAAAGAATTGGAGCCAGCCTGGCCAACTAAGGGCATACTATGCAGACAGCACCCTGAGCTTGGCATAAATGCGTCTAATGATGCACTCGCTCCATGCTTTCAAAATACTGTCCCCTAGCACTCGCTGGTTCACTTGTCTCCTTACCTTCTTACTAGCGGGTAGAAGCTCCTGGGATATAGAAAAGCTGTATGTAGTGAGTGTAGAAGAAAGGGGGTATGCCACAGTGTTAGAGAGACCAAAGTCAGCATTACCTTAACTAATTTCATTTTCAGCCAGTCCAAACAGGTTTTGTTCCCATATATCCCTCTTAAGTTTCCATACTCAATCAAGAGTATGTAAAGAGTAGTGTGTAAAAAAAAAAAAAAATAATAATAATAAAAAAAGTTACTTTAAAAACAAATAAATCAATGGGCCTATTCCATGGGCATGGGCCTGGAGCTGCAGCTCCATCAACCCCTATGTTAATCCAACCCTGAATGCAGAGACTGGCTCTCTGTATCCAGCGCTGGAAGCCCGCCTTTCAATATAGCGAATGCTCCTTACACACAAAATACAATCCTATTATTTTATACTTTGGGTGTTAGTGGGGCCTCATGCTTGAATTTCGCCTAATGCCTCATAAAGTCTAGAGCCGCCCCTGGCTCTCCTGCTCCCCCAGCAGAAAGAAGAAACAACATCCTCCATCAGGCTGGACCCCTTCTCCTCCATTCACAGCAACAGGACAGGTATGTCATATCTGGAGGCCAAGAGAGACTGGCTATCCTGTGCATGGTTGTCAATTGGTGTGTGTTAAATTACTATGTGTGTAAAGAAAAAAAAGTTTGACTTTATGTAAAGTGGTGTGAGTTTGTGTTTGAGTGACAGTGTGTGTGTTAGTAAGACTGTGTTAGTGACACTGTGTATGTCAGTGAGTGTGTGTAAGTGACACTGTATGTCAGTGTGTGTGTGTGTGTTAGTGACTCTGTGTGTGTTATTGAGAGTGTATAAGTGAAACTGTGTGTATGTAAGTGAAAGTGTGTAAGGGCCACTATATCAGTGAGAGTGTGTTAGTTAGTGACACTGTGCACGTGACACTGTGTGTATGTCAGTGAGAGTGTGTAAGTGACTGTATGTCAGTGAGAATGTGTGTTAGTGAATGTGTAAGTGACACTGTGTATGTCAGTGAGAATGTAAGTGACACTGTGTATGTCAGTGAGAATGTGTGTGTTGGTGACACTGTGTATGTAAATGAGAGAGTGTGTATTAGTCAGAGTGTGTAATTGACACTATGTGTATGTCAGTGAGAATGTGCAAGTGACACTGTGTATGTCAGTGAGAGTGTAAGTGTGTTAGTGAAAGTGTGTTAGTGATAATGTGTATATCAGTAAGAGTGTGTAAGTTACATGGTGTATGTCAGTGAGAGTGTGTTAGTAATTGTGTAAGTGACATCGTGTTTGTATGCCAGTGAGAGAGTGTGTGTGCGCTAGTGTGTGTGTGACCATGTGAAGAGATCCTTATATATAAAATTATAATTATAATATATTAATCTAATTCCATTTTAAACCGAAAAAAAAATGTTTTTACTTAAAGTTCACTGTAACGTAAATTAAGTCCCACCATTATTTTAAATTAAATCCCACCAAATGCGTTGATGTATGTTTTAGGCAGTATGATTGTATGGATATATGTATTAGGCAGTATGGGTGTATGGATGTATGTATTGGGCTGTGTGTGTGTATCCTCACTTCAAATCAGAGTTTAGTGAAAAAACCTCTGAGGGAATGTAGTTGCACCCATGAGGGGGCGGCAAAATGGATTGTTGGGTAGGGCGGCAAGAATCCTTGCACCGGCCCTGCTTCCGGACTCTCATATCATAACATACCATGATATTATGCGTGCATGGCCATTGCCATCACGGTTGGCCATAGAGAATCATTGACTACAATGAAACTCTACGGAGCAACGAGGTGCGAGCTATGCATGCCTCTGTGGCCCTCAATGCTCCTCTCTATCATTGGCCCATCATTCTGGTATTTTTTCATCAGATGTACATTTCCTGCTCATAAAGAGCTTGCAGAATACTGTTGTGACTTGTTTGTACAAGTTCATTAAAAACCTCCAATGACCATTTTACTGTCTACGTCAAATAAAGTACAACTGTGATCCTGCACGTTTACAGGGTTTTAAAAATGCTTGTAAGCCTTCCTAACAATGCGTTCAGTATGTTTTTATGTAAATATGTGAATAACACTGCTTAAACATGTCCTCCTATGATGTCTCATGATTTATTGGTGTGGAGCCTACTTAATGGTGAATATATTTCGCTAGATTATGTCAACAAAAACAGCGGCTGCTGTCATCAGAATTTAGAAAAATGTATTAAAAATAAAATAAAAATGCATGTAGCTCCATGACTTCTAATATTTCAAGAGGAAAGGTGGGACACTTTAATTTTAGGAGTGTGAGTGGGGTGGAGCTGTTCTGAGAAATTTTAGGTGACTTACTAACAATTTCTGCAACGAAAATGTAATTTAGAACAAGGCCTAATATCTAAGCACATTTATTGTAGTTTAAAGACAAAGTACCGAGAGAATTATTGCTGTGGAGCTCTGTTATACACTCAGACACACCAACAATCTAGAGCTAATAGAAAAGAGGGAAATTATGAGAAAGGATTTGGCTTCAAAATAGGGACTGTTCCTCCTAAATAGGGACACTTGGGAGGTATGTAGGTCTGTAGGCTGAGATAACTCACTGTGCTCAACAATGAGAATAACCGGTTCTACTTCAAGGAGCATTATCTTTTAATCCTTATGAGATTACCCAGAACCGTTCCTTCCTTCCATCTTTTTAACTGATCTTTTGTCACTAATTGTTCAATATAATGTGTGCCAATGACTCGGTAATAGCATTAACAAGATACATTAATCTTGTGCCTGTTCAGATAAATCAGAAAGTGTAAACTAGACACTTGAGTCACAGTTACTTTGGGGAGAGAAGTCCTATAGGGTCAGATAATCATTCCCACTGCTGTCTAAAAGAGGACAAGCATAAAACCACAACTTGTAATTTAGATTTTAAAGGGGAAATGTCACTTCTCTGGAATTTATACTGTTGGAGTAAACCTTGAAAAATCACTTTATTGTTTTTGTAAATTTATTTTAAAGAGTTAGGAAACAACCTTATAGTGCAGTTAATACAAGGTAAAGCCAGGGAAACATTACAAATGGAAAGGATAAATAGGAAATGTTTAATCTCTCTTCTTCGCTGTATGCGTTTCTCTATGCTGATTGATGCAGAGCTTATAATAATGACTGACTAAGGTGGAGGCACCCAGTTGCAGGATAAAGAGGTGTGGATCTCTACGTTTCATTTAATGTTTCACACCTCACAGATATTTACTTGATAAATACAGGGATACTATTATTACTGATATTAAATATCCTGGGACAGGGGCGGACTGACCGGTCGGGCACTTCGGACACGGTCCGAGGGCCCGGCCGGGAGGGGGGCCCGCCGCCAGGGCCGCCTTCAGGGGGCCCGGCGGCAGGGCTGGATTGGGGGCGGCATTTGGGGACTGCAGGTGCCACCGGGTGGCCGGCCCGGTGGCACACTGTGAGGGGGCCGGCCGTTTGATGCTGGAGCCGCCGGACCAGGTGGCAGCCTCACCGGTCCGGCGGCATTCCGCTCACTAACGATGAAGAAGAAGGAGGAGGAGGAGGAGGAGCATGTGTCTATCATGCTCCCTGCGGTTCCCACAATTCCCAGCACAGGATGTGGGAACCGCAAAGGAGCATGACAGACACATGCTCCTCCTCCTCCTTCTTCTTCAGTGTTAGTGAGCGGAATGCCGCCGGACCGGCGAGGCTGCCACCCGGTCCGGCGGCTCTAAAATGAAACGGCCAGCCCCCTCTGACTAGTAAGAGGGGGGAGAGATGGGGAGGGGGGAGAAAGAGAGGGGAGAGATGGGGAGGGGGGAGAAAGAGAGGGGAGAGATGGGGAGGGGGGAGAAAGAGAGGGGACATAGAGATGGGAAAGGGGGAGAAAGGGGGGGCAATAAAGAGATGGGGAGAAAGAGAGGGAAGAATGAGACACAGGGGGAGACAGAGACAGAGAGGGAAGAATGAGACACAGGGGGAATAGAGAGATGGGAGGGGGGAGACAGAGGGAAGAATGAGACACGGGGAGAAAGGGGGAATAGAGAGATGGGGAGGGGGAGAAAGAGACAGAGAGGGAAGAATGAGACACGGGGAGAAAGAGGGGGAATAGAGAGTTGGGGGAGGGGGGAGAAAGAGAGGGAAGAATGCCCCCCTCCCCTGTCCGCAGGCACCGTGTGGGCAGGGGAGGAAGAGAGGACCTGGGAGCTCACCCTGCAGCTCCTCTGGGTCCTTCTTGCGCGAGCACAGAGCGTTGCCGCGGTTACCATGGCAACGTTACTGCTCTTGCGAGAGTCAACTCTAGCCCTGGAGCTACGGGCTAGAGTTCACTCTCAGCACTGTAACCCCCATGGATTCCTGGTGGTCGCAGTGGTGAGAGTGAACTCTAGCCCCATAAACACACTGCCCCCACACACACACCATACACATTCACACACTGCCCCCATACACACCATACACATTTACACACATTGCCTCACACACACACATACACTGCCCACCCATATACACACAGATCCCCATACACAGCCCCCATACTAACATTGCCACACACATACACTGCCCACACACCCTACACATTCACACACTACACCCCCACACACACACTGAACCTTTCACACACATTGCACCACTGCTCCTATTCCCTACTACAGCCTCATATCCCAGCAGACCCCAGGTAAGTTGTCAAGCTGTTCTTAAACGGTTTGACTACTTACTCTGGAGCAGTAGTGGTTATTGTGCATGGATTATTTCTTTAAATAATCTACAAGTGCCCCAGTAGCCAGCCAGCCAGCCAACCCACAGGCTGGCCAGTAGCCAGCCAGTTAGCCAGCCCACAGGCCAGCCCACAGGCCTACAGCAAGCCACAGGCTTACAGCCAGCAAGCCACAGCCTGCCAGCCGCAGTCAGCAAGCCCACAGCCTGCCGGCAGTAGCCAGCAAGCCCACAGCCTGCCAGCAGCAGCCAGCAAGCCCACAGACTGCCAGCCAGCAACAGTAATTAAGGTAAGAGGAGCCAACTTGGCTTAGGTATCAGCGAGCTATGTTGTGTTGCTATATTGTGAATAGGAACCAGAGTGTTGGAGAAACCACCCTCCAGGCCCCATTAGACTCTAGCCTCTGCTAGAAATCCCCTCCATGGCCCATTAGCCCTCAATTGTAGTTTCTACTGGGGCCTGGAGGCGACTGTTTCCAGCAGGGGATATCTAATGGACGCTGAGATGGCCTCTGTTAGAAAGACCCGCTTCCAAGCCTTTTAGACTCCATTGTAGTCTCTAATGGGGCTTGGAGGGGATTCTATCTAACACACTCTCTAAGGACACTGAGATAGCCTCCGCTAGAAAGACCCCCCTCCATGGCCCATTAGCCCTCAATTGTAGTCTCTACTGGGGCCTCGAAGGGCTTATTGCCCTTTTGTTCCTTGTGTCTAAAGATTGTGTAGGGTGTGGCTGGAGGCGGGACAAGGGTGGCGCTTGCTGCAGAGTATGGGTGGGGCCTGTAAGGGGGCCCTTGATTTATTTTGCCCGGGGGCCCTGAGGGTTCTCAGTCCGCCCCTGTCCTGGGAAGTGACAGAGATAATCAAATAATTAAATTAATGAATGGTTGTAAAATCTGGTTGGAATCGTCACTGTTAAAGGACCACTCTAGGCACCCAGACCACTTCAGCTTAATGAAGTGGTCTGGGTGCCAGGTCCTTCTAGGGTTAACCCATTTTTTTATAATTGACAGCCACTAGAGGCGCTTGCGTGCTTCTCACTGTGATTTTCACAGTGAGAGCACGCAAGCGTCCATAGGAAAGCATTGTAAATATAGTCTTGGGCCAAATGCTCGCCACAATAATATATGTTTATATTATTGAAAAGTACTAATACGCAATCTGACTTACGGTTTCTCCAGGTTTATTCTTAGTTACGGATACATAATAAAACAACAAAGGATGTTACAGGATAATGGACATTCAACAGCAGATGGTAATTGCTGGACTTCTTTACATCCTTACATCTTTACATTGAGAGAGAGAGCCAGAGAGAGCCAAGAGCCAAGAGAGAGAGAGCGACCTCGTGCCCCTCTGTTACTATATAGATGTGCTCATACTAATGGCAGAGTTTAACTCTAGCCATATAAGGACAAGACCCCCAAATCCACATTCCAGAGCTCTCGGACAAAGAAAGCCTTGTGACTTATACCATCTGTTACTTATGTCAATCCACACATCCATATATAATCAATAGAAACATGGAATATGCAATATTCTACAATGGTAGTTGGTGCATTGTTACCACTGCTTCACTATGAGACAGGCTGAAAATTCGGGAGAGGCTTGACAGTGCTAGGAGCCATTTCTGAGTACTTGATAGTGGTTAACTTAAAGGGACTTCTATAGTCACCAGAGGAACTACAACTTATTGTATTTGTTCTGGTGAGTATAGTAAGTCCCTTCACGCTATTTTCAGTAAACACTGTGTTTTCAGATAAAATGCAGTGTTTACATTACAGCCTAGGGATACCTCCAATGGCCACTCCTCACATGGCTACTAGAGGTGATTCCTGGGGAAGTGCTGCACAATGTGCAGCAGTGGTATTTAGTGTCTCCACCCTCTGCATGGAGACACTGAACTTTCCTCATGGAGATGAATTGATTCAATGTATCTCTACGATGAGATGCTGATTGTCCAGAATTCTGTAGGTTTGTGCTGGCTCTGCACTTTGGTAAAAGTATTGTGATTGGCTGAGATTATCACTTCTGATGATATCAGCCAAGCACACATATCATAGGCAGATCCAGCAGCAGCAGAATGGAACAAAAGTAAAATGTAACTATATTTAGAGGGGCAAGGGGGGCTAGATGATGGTTTTAACACTAATAGGGCCAGGAATACATGTTTGTTTTCCTGACCATAAGAGCCACTCACCTTTTAATCAATAATCCATGCAAAATGGCAAGAGAACATTTAGGATATAAAACGCAAGACATCTGGCAAAGAGCAAAAACTGATAACAATGAAAAGCAAATATGGCATGAGTCAGAGACACATGACTATTATAAGAACAATTGTGCAGATAATGTTAAGGGTTTTACAGCTTTTAAAAAGCAAAGATGGAATAAAAGAGCAACCAGAGTTTTGCATCTATGTAAAACCTGATGTAATGGTAACAAAGGGCAAGCGAGGTGTAATGAAGGATCCTGTGAGGAAATGGAGATAGAGGCAAAAGTGCCTATCTCTGTGTCCGATGTGAGTGTATCTGCATGTAACTGTGTGTGACAACATGTAATGTGCGTCTGTAAACATACATATCTGTGTGTATGTGTATATGTGCATGCAGGGATACTATTATTACTGATATTAAATATCAACAGTACACACAAATGCACCTCTGCAGTCGAAAGGCCAACACTACACACAAACAGGGCCGTTTGAAGGAATTTGGGAGCCCCAAGCAAAATGGACATGGACTATTTTTAGGGTGACGGGGGTAGGTAAGGGATAGTTTTTATTTGGGTGGGGGGTGGGTGTCTGGGGGCTTGGGGACCCCTAGTCACCTTTGAAGGGGAGGGATTTGTCTTAGGGCCAGTAGGTCCCCCCCCTCATTATCTTTATGGCCCCCACTCACCGCTCAGGGGTGGGAGCAGGGGGGGACAGTAGGTCCCCCCATTGTGATTTATGGCCCCCACCAACCGCGCAGGGGTGGGGGCGGACAGTTGGCCCCCGCCTCATTATCTTTATGGCCCTCACCCACCGCTCAGGGGTGGGAGCCGGGCGGGGAGGACAGTAGGTCCTCCCATTGTCCTTTATGGCCCCTACTCACCGTGCAGGGGTGGGGGCTGGGGGGGAGGACAGTAGGTCCCCCCATTGTGATTTATGGCCCCCACCCACACTGCAGGGGTGGGGGCTGGGGGGGGCTACTAGGGTTTTGGGGTTTCACAGGCTGCTCACTGTTTAGTAGACATGCCCCTACTCGCGGTATAGCGAGTAGGGGTATTCAGGAGATTTTATCCTCCTTTATGCTAATATGGGGGTCATATCTTGGGGCCCCAGGCCAGCTCGGGGCCCAAGCAATTGCTTGGTTTGCTTGCCTTGTCGCTTTTACAAACACACATATACCCCCCAATCCCACTTCATACGATGACAGTGGACAGGGTCAAAGGGGGCCAATCACACAGGCCAGCCAACTAAAGCAGGGTGTTTTAGCATCTGATGATCGACACATGGTACGTTTTCTGGGGACAGATCCATGGTGTCGAGATGATGGGATATTACCCTGAAATCGGGACTGATTTACAAATTGTTCACCTTTGCTATATGGGGGGAGGAGGGAGGCAAAAAGAATTATCTTGCACCATGAACCTCTTTTTATGAGCTCTGACTCAACATGATGTTTATGACTTTCTGGCTCAACACAAACCCATAATGCTTGGAGATGATTTTATGAGTCTACTCGACTTCTAGCATGTATATATCTAAACTACCCCGTATGTATTCCATCCAGAAAGTGTTCCATCCAGAAACTATTATACGTGGTCAACTAATCATTTATACTGAATATTCAACTTTTTCAACTTTCTTTTTTCAAGAAATGAATGCTCAAAAATTATGTATGTACATTATATTTCTGTTTCTTGTGAATTTACAAAATATTCTAAATATGTAAAAGCGTGTCTGCAAAGAGATATATATTATGTTCTAAGGATGTACTCTAAATAATGGAACATTCTTTAAGTGTACAGTAAGTGATCATTACAGGTAGGAATGTTTAGTGGTAATCTAGTGGGAGCACATCTGGGTCTAACAAGGAGGCTTGGTGGGTTGGGCTGGTTCTGTCATAGGCATTGGGTTTCAACGTCTAGAAGTTCTGTTGCATCCTATTTTGTTAAAGGGACACTATAGTGTCAGGAAAACCGCTTGGTTTTCCTGGCACTATAGTACCCTGAGGGTGCCCCACCCTTAGGATCCCCCTCCTGCGGCGCTGAAGGGGTTGAAACCCCTTCAGCTACTCACCCTTTTCCCCCGCCGGGCTCCCTTACCTCTCCTCCCCCGCCGACGTCAGCATCCAGCATCCAGCATTGTCTGACGTCACCGGTGCCGAATGTGCATGCGCGGCACTGCAGCGTGCGCATTCAAAGTGTCCGTAGGAAAGCATTTTTCAATGCTTTCCTATGGACACTCTGCGTGATTGAGGCATAATATGCCTCAATCATTGCCGATGCGCCTCTAGTGGCTGTCCGGAAGACAGCCACTAGAGGCTGGCTTAACCCCAGATGTAAACATAGCAGTTTCTCACAAACTGCTATGTTTACATCAGGCAGGGTTAACCCTAGAGGGACCTGACACCCAGACCACTTAATTGAGCTGAAGTGGTCTGGGTGACTATATAGTTCCTTTAATTAAAAGAAGGTCATTACTTGCTTTGTATTTCAAGGGTAAGTGGGATAATACAGGGAGTGCAGAATTATTAGGCAAATGAGTATTTTGACCACATCATCCTCTTTATGCATGTTGTCTTACTCCAAGCTGTATAGGCTCAAAAGCCTACTACCAATTAAGCATATTAGGTGATGTGCATCTCTGTAATGAGAAGGTGTGTGGTCTAATGACATCAACACCCTATATCAGGTGTGCATAATTATTAGGCAACTTCCTTTCCTTTGGCAAAATGGGTCAAAAGAAGGACTTAACAGGCTCAGAAAAGTCAAAAATAGTGAGATATCTTGCAGAAGGATGCAGCACTCTTAAAATTGCAAAGCTTCTGAAGCGTGATCATCAAACAATCAAGCGTTTCATTCAAAATAGTCAACAGGGTCGCAAGAAGCGTGTGGAAAAACCAAGGCGCAAAATAACTGCCCATGAACTGAGAAAAGTCAAGCGTGCAGCTGCCACTATGCCACTTGCCACCAGTTTGGCCATATTTCAGAGCTGCAACATCACTGGAGTGCCCAAAAGCATAAGGTGTGCAATACTCAGAGACATGGCCAAGGTAAGAAAGGCTGAAAGACCACCACCACTGAACAAGACACACAAGCTGAAACGTCAAGACTGGGCCAAGAAATATCTCAAGACTGATTTTCTAAGGTTTTATGGACTGATGAAATGAGAGTGAGTCTTGATGGGCCAGATGGATGGGCCCGTGGCTGGATTGGTAAAGGGCAGAGAGCTCCAGTCCGACTCAGACGCCAGCAAGGTGGAGGTGAGTACTGGTTTGGGCTGGTATCATCAAAGATGAGCTTGTGGGGCCTTTTCGGGTTGAGGATGGAGTCAAGCTCAACTCCCAGTCCTACTGCCAGTTCCTGGAAGACACCTTCTTCAAGCAGTGGTACAGAAGAAGTCTGCATCCTTCAAGAAAACATGATTTTCATGCAGGACAATGCTCCATCACACGCGTCCAAGTACTCCACAGCATGGCTGGCAAGAAAGGGTATAAAAGAAAAAATCTAATGACATGGCCTCCTTGTTCACCTGATCTGAACCCCATTGAGAACCTGTGGTCCATCATCAAATGTGAGATTTACAAGGAGGGAAAACAGTACACCTCTCTGAACAGTGTCTGGGAGGCTGTGGTTGCTGCTGCACGCAATGTTGATGGTGAACAGATCAAAACACTGACAGAATCCATGGATGGAGTGTCCTTGCAAAGAAAGGTGGCTATATTGGTCACTGATTTGTTTTTGTTTTGTTTTTGAATGTCAGAAATGTATATTTGTGAATGTTGAGATGTTATATTGGTTTCACTGGTAATAATAAATAATTGAAATGGGTATATATTTGTTTTTTGTTAAGTTGCCTAATAATTATGCACAGTAATAGTCACCTGCACACACAGATATCCCCCTAACATAGCTAAAACTAAAAACAAACTAAAAACTACTTCCAAAAATATTCAGCTTTGATATTAATGAGTTTTTTGGGTTCATTGAGAACATGGTTGTTGTTCAATAATAAAATTAATCCTCAAAAATACAACTTGCCTAATAATTCTGCACTCCCTGTAGTGGACCACGTGGGTCAAGAAATATGAGTCCTTATGAAGGGAGGCTTTGGACCAAACAGAATAGGTCCAGACACCTAAAAAGAACTTGGTGATAGAGAGAGGGAAGTATACATTGATCAAGAAAATGTTTAGGATCAAAAGGGACACTACAAGCTCCATAACCACTACAGTCCACTAAAGCCAGTAGTGGTCTGGCACCCTCCTACTGTAATTTGTTGATATTCATTAGAAACATTTGATAATTTACCATTGTCCCTAAGGCACTACCGTTGCAGATGGCTGTAGTGGTATTTTGAATGTTTCTTCAACAGTGACTAATGAGTGTAACAGAATCTCCCAGCTCTCCCTTTCCGTCATTATTATGCTGAACATAATTGTTCCAATTTGTTCTGTGGCATTGTTTGTGAGTGTTTGTTACCACTTTTATTTATCTAGAGTTAAAAAAAAAAGGCATTGGGGCTTGTCACCAAACAGCAAACTCTGGTGACTTGAGAATTGACTTGAAAGAGGAAAAAATAATCTGCAGCATGGCAGGATGGGAGCAAAGTTTGTTATTTTATTATATATATATATATATATATATATATATATATATTTATATTTTATTTTATTTATTTTTTAATTATTTATTATGTCAACAGAAATTATTGTCTAGATTTAGAATGTGTCTTTAAATTAATTTTGATATTCTCACATTTTACAATATATTTAAACAAATTAAGTGCATTAAATATAAATTAGGAGAGTGTATTCTATTTTATAGTTTTGAATAACTTTTCTATTTTGTAAGACAGCATTTTGTTAAATATGATACCATTTTTGAATGTTTGCAAAATTCATGTTATATAGCTTGAAGTATGTTGAATATTTTTTTAAATATAGTTTGTCCTGCTAAGTGAACGTCCAAAGAAAATATAAGCAAACAAGGAGATTGGACTGTCGTCAAAATGTTCTACAAATACTAATAGGTAAATGTCCTCAGGGAATGTATGCAAATGATGCAAAAGTACAGTAATATGGGCACATGAATTCAAGGTGAAAAATGTTGATATAACAATTCAGAAGAAATGATATAAAAGGTTACTAACAATCTGAAACTTAAAGCATGATTTAGAAAGACCCCTGACTGTGACATCGCCCTTGGGGTCCTGTGGCTGGGGACACTGGCGGATCCAGAGCCTTATCTCGGGAGGGGTACTCATAGATTATTTAACAAAACAATTCAGGCACAATAGCCACTACAGCTCTCTGTAGTGGTTATGGTGCAAAGAGTGACGTGGCGCCCTCCAAGAGTAAATAGTCAAATTGTTTAAGAACAGTTTGACAATTTACCTGGGTACTGCTAGGATAGGGCATCTAGTAATGTGTGTGTGTGTGTGTGTGTGTGTGTAGGAAGTGTGTGTATGTGTGTGTATGGGAGGCACTGAGTGTGTGAGGGATGCAGGGTGGGTATGGGACGCCGTGTGTGTGAGGGGTGCAGAGTGTGTGTGTGTGTACGGGATGCAGTGCATGTGCGAGAGGTGCAATGTGTGTATGGGGGTGCAGTGGGAGCACTGTGTGTATGGGGCCAGTGTGTGTATGAGGGTGTAGTAGTGGCAGTGTGTGTATGGGAGTGCAGTTGGGGAAGTTTGTGTATGGGGGTGCAGTGTGAGGGAGCACTGTGTGTCTGGGGGTGTAGTGTGTGTGAAGGGGAGAAGTGTGTGTGAAGGGGAGAAGTGTGTGTGGGTAAGCACTGTGTGTATGGGGGAGAAGTGTGTGTGGGGGTGCAGTGTGTGTGTGGGGCAAACAAAGGTGAGTTTACATACCTGCACCTGTCCCTTACAGGAGTTGCCATCCTCTTCTGGCCAGTCCTCTTCTGCTACCAGGAGCCAACGTCCCTGAGGAATTCTCGTGCATGCTCAAGAGTACAGCATTGAGATCTATGGTTTATCATGTGAGACTGCAGGATGCTCCATAGATAGATTAAATTTACCTACAAAACTCCCTGGTGACAGCTGGGGGAAATGACACTGATTGACAGCAGCAGCTCCGCCTAGTATCAAGCAGAGTCAGGCTTTGTCTCATCATATCTTTTGACAGGGTTAGAATATCAATGCAATTCAAACACAGTCAATGTAAATATTTCATAAAGATTTTAGCTTAATCAAATGCACATTTTCGGAGGGGGGTTAGTGAAAGTGCCACTTTAAGTCAAGTTAGATCTTAAAGTTGCACTTGACAAGTTACATACTAACACTTCCTAACCTGCCCAGCAGTGAGTGGCTCCATGAGCCTTCAAAGCATTTACTTTTGTACTACCTGTGGCCTTTTGTTAAGAGAGTCAGAAACAACAATGTCAATGCTCTCAATGCTCTCCTAAATGAGAGCGGTGTTGCAGAGTCCCTAGAAAGAATGCATGTACACGTCTTCCAAACAGGGCCAGATTAAGAGCCAATTGGGCCTGGTGCTGATAATTAGGATGGGCCTAATTACAGAATCTTATAAACAGAAATCACTAAAAGTTATAAATCCGAAGTCTTATGTATCTGGAGGTGGTGCTGGAGGGAAACTCACAAGATAAATCTTTACGAAAACACGTACCATCTGCTAATCTCTCACTTTTACATTTCGAGAAGAAGGTCGCTGGTATGGCAAGGGGTATTGTTTGCATGAGGTATAAAACCCTCGGAAGGATATTCATTTTGATCACAGCCACCCTGCCGTGCCACGTGATATGCGGGTGTGACCAGCTAGTCAGGTCCAACAGAATTTTCTTTAGGAGGGGTGTAAAATTGCAATCATACATATCCTTCGGTTCCGTGGTTACCCAGACGCCTAAATACTTCATCTTGCCATAGCACCAGCGGAACGCGAATTGCGACTCCAGGGAGTGGAAGTCCTCCGCGGGGAGCGAGACGTTCAACGTCTCACATTTTGAAATATTAAGTTTGAAGCCGGATATCCGTCCAAATTTACTGAATTCCGAGAGGAGGCAAGGCAATGTGACTCGAGGGTTGTGGACGAAAAAGAGGAGATCGTCTGCATAAGCAGCCACCTTGTGTTGCACATCCTGCCATGTGTATCCCATGATGTCCGGGTTTTGCCTAATCGCTTGTAGGAGGGGTTCCAGTTGGAGCGCGAACAGCAGTGGCGAGAGCGGGCATCCTTGCCTGGTGCCGTTGCGAATCGTGAAGTCGGCGGTTGTGGCACCGTTAATCCGCACTGTCGCTCTGGGATCTGTGTATAGGGCAGAAATCCATGATAGAAGCCTTTCTCCGCAACCTTGCCATTTCAGCGTCTCCATCATATACGTCCAGTTGACTCGATCAAATGCCTTTTCCGCATCTGTCGACAAAAGCATTAATCGGATCCCACGTTTCTTAGCATGGTGTTGGATAGCGAATAGCCTCAGTGTGCTATCTCTGGCTTCCCTACCAGGGATGAAACCCGTCTGGTCTGCGTGTATCAAGTCGGGCAAAAGACGTTTCAAGCGGGTCGCTAATACCTTTGTAAACAATTTGGAGTCAACATTAAGCAACGAGATCGGGCGATAGCTGCCACATTGTAGAGGGTCCTTCCCTGGTTTAAGAAGTACGGTGATGGTAGCCGCCACTGATTCCCTGCCCAAGGTCCCCCCCTCTCCCACTGCGTTGAGAGCATCAGTAAGCCGTGATAAAAGCAGTCCCGAGAAGCTTTTATAATATCCTAGGGAGAAGCCATCCGGGCCAGGTGCTTTACCGGTTTTGGACGTTTTAAGAGCTGCTGCTATTTCTTCCACACTGATTGGTGTGTCTAGCATTGCCGCCGAGTCCCGGTCCATTACGTTCAAGACCGTTTCAGATAGATATGCACGTATCGTCGAGCGATCCCGATCAGCCTCAGCTCCTGCGGTGGGCGGGTATAGGTTGTAGAGTTTCTCATAAAAAATCCTGAATTCCTCTGCGATCTTTTCGGGGAAGGGGGAGATTTCCCCCGTGGTCAGGCGTATCTGGCGGATTTGTCTATGAGGTACAGGGCCTTTCAAAAGTCTCGCAAGATATTTGCCGCCTTTATTGGCATGGGCATAGTAAAAGCCTTTAGTGCGTTGCACCGACCTGAGATGTCGTTTCAGTAGAAGTGCTTTGAGTTTCCTCCTATGCTCCATTAGGTCACCGTATACCGCATTCAATTGGGATCTTTTGTGGCTACGTTCCAATGTCGAGATAGCTTGGTGTAATTCAGTCAGTTCACGCATGACCGCTTTCCGTTTCTGTGAGGCAAGGCGTATTATGGTGCCGCGGATCACGCTCTTGTGTGCTTCCCAGAGAGAGATCGTGGAAATATCCGGGGTATCATTCTCCAGGAAATATTGCTCCAATTCCCGACGTATCTGTTCCTTGATGTTCGGATCCAACAGTAGAGCTTCATTTAGTCTCCAATTCCATCCCGTTGGTTTGTATAAGGGGGAGGTCAGTTCCATCTCAACAGAGCCATGATCCGACCAAGTGGCCGGGGTGATGTCCGCTCCCAGTAGGTGTGTAAGGCCCTCTCGAGCGATAAAGAGATAATCTATACGGGAATAGCGGTTGTGGAGCGCCGAGTAATAGGTGAAGTCCTTCACCGAGGGGTGCAACGCCCTCCAGCAGTCTACCAATCTCAAATCCTCCATCGATTGTCGGATGGATTTGATAGTGCGCTGCGACATACAGCTATGTCCCGTCGAGGAATCCAATATCGGGTCCAGTGGGGTATTAAAATCTCCTCCTGCAATTAGGATACCATCCGAAAATTCTTCCAACTGTTGAAGAGCGTTGCGAAGAAAGGGAGCCTGCCTCTTGTTTGGTACATAGATGGAGGCTATCGTGTAAATCTTGTTAGCTATAACTCCTTTAAGGAAGAGATACCTTCCTAGTGAATCCTGCATCCGGTCCAATTCTTCAAAACCGATGTCAGCTGCTAGGAGAATGGCCACACCGGTTTTGTGTGACGTGGGGTGGTTGCAAAAATAGTTACTGGGGTAATATCGATTTCTTAACCTAGACTGTGTCCCCTCTTTGAAGTGAGTCTCCTGGAGTAAGGCAATAGAGACATGTTTTTTCCTCAGTTCTCTCAGCAGGTGTGTCCTGCGCTCTGGCACGTTGAGACCTCTGCAATTCTGCGTCATAATCTTCAGTGGAGCTTTACGGTAGGCCATGATTACTGGCTCTATCGGTGATTAAAGCACCGTGAGGCTCCGAGGAAGGCTCTCAATCGGTGGGTCAGTTAGTACAATGTATGAGTGGGGAAAAAGGGAAGGGAAGTAGGGGAAGGGAGGTAGAGAGAGCTGAGTAGAAAGGAAATGTGATAGGATGGAGAGTGAGTCAGGAGCCGGCGTCCCGGGTGCGGGACTGGCTATCCCTATGTCAGTTAAAAGGAGGTGTGTATCCCTATCGGCGATACCCTCTCAGAATTTGGACTAGGTCCAAATCTATGCCCCCCCTCCAGGGTGGGGGGGGGGTTATCTCGTGCAGCAACCGGCACTAGTGGTGCCTCGTTCCGGTAACCAGCCCAGGAAGCCGAAGCACCCCCTATGCGGCCACACCACGTGTAGCACGAGCGTATGGGTGTAGAAGAGTGTCTCGAGCTCCGCCCAAATGAAATCTCACGGAGAAATAGTAGGCAACCGCCCCCAGCCGCCCCCTCAACGCTATGCCAACAGGGCAGGAAGGTCCCCAGTATAGGGCTTCAGCAGAAAAGATACATAAGCGTCAGGCGCTAGGTAAGCGGAAAATGTACTGATTGAGTCTGAAGTAATCTAGCTGTGTCTAGAGGAGCCCACCATTCCCCAGGCGTCCCCCCTCCACAGGGTGCCTCCGAGCAACCCCCTCCGGGCATGCCCTGAACGTTCCCCATCCGCCCGTGGGCCAGGCGTGTAGGGCAGTGATGATCAGGTGACATTTGTCTGGCCCCTTAGAGCATTAGCATATAGGGGAACCCGTAACCATGGAGTCCCTGGTGTCCCTGGTCATCCCGGGGTGTCCCCCCGCAGTCACTTCCTCAGGTCCACCCAGTGCAGGACCGTGTAGCGCCTGTCCCGGTCATTGCTGTGTGGGAAGCCATGTCTCCAGGGGGGGAGTGGGAAGAGGTGAGGGGTAAAGGAGGGAGGGGAGGGATGGAGGTGAGCGAGGAGGAGTCAGAACCTGCATGCTCGTGCGTTAGTCAGTGGTAGGGAGTGGGCCTCTCAGGGGGAGTTCCTGTGAGTGCAAATGCCAAGGGTGTAAGTAATAAACAACCTGTAAATGTACTCCGTGATATCTTATGAGTGTATCAACTGTAACAAACTGGAGCATTGAACAATTGCATTTAACGTGATGTACATAACAGTGCATGGCAGCAAATAAATACATGCAGTAAAGTAAATACGACCATATCTCCCCCCACGGTCCCCCCCACCCCCCAACAGAGCCCCCAGCAACCCATAGCCCAACAGTGGATCCAACATTCCACCTGAATCCCAGCAGTGAGGAGTTCCAGAGTGTTAGCAATGTTAGCAATGAGATGATCGCAGAGTGGGAAGCTACATCACGAACCCAACTCTCCCCCCAAGGCCCCCCACCCAAGGATCCATCAGCCCGCCCCACAGTAGGCAGCATCACCGATCTGGAAGCCACGGGTCTCGCTGTGTGGGAGTAAAGTGGAACAATAAGCCCACCCGCCCGGAGATCCCCCACCCCAACCGTCAACAAAATGCCCCAAAGTACCTCTGGGTGTACTGCATGTGGATCTTGCTCCTCATGGGATGGTCGAGGTAGGTGTGGATGTGGATGCGGCGTGGAACTCCGTTCCCGATCAAAAAGAAGGGCCCAAGGCGTGTCGGCAACGGTGTCCTGAGACATGGGCCGGGACCGCCAGGGATCACGTGATGGAGAGTGTCATGTGGTTACCTGCAATAGATGGAGGAAGGCCTAATCATTCCTCCGGAGATGTCGGCCTCCCATGACGACCGGGATGAGAGGCAGCAGGATCATCCGCAGCCCGCTGTCTTGGTTCTCTCCGTGGTCTTGGGGGTGGGCCCAGCGAGCCCAAGATCCAGTTGGGGACCATCTGCAGTGGGAGGCCCAGCTCCCTCAGGAATCCCGGCACCTCCTCCGGCCACCTCAAGGTAATCCAGCGGTTCTGATGCCTTGCCATTAAAGCGAAGGGGAAGCCCCATTTGTAGACCACATCATGGTCTCTCAGTGCTGCCGTGACAGGGCGGAGAGCTCGTCTGGCATCCAGGGTGATGGGGGATAGGTCATTATAGAGGGAGACCTGAGCTCCCCGGAAGGGCCAGGAAGGCCGTTCCCGGGCTTTTGTCATAATGTCATTCTTCACCGGGAACGAGCTTAAACAGCAAATAAGGTCCCTTGGGCCATCTCCCGCATTCCTAGGGCGTAGGGCCCTATGAGCTCTGTCAAATTCAATGTGTGGTAACAGTGTCGGCAGCATGATGGAACGGAAGAGCTCCTTAAGGGTGTTTTGCGCATCCTCTGCCCCCTCTGCCTCAGGTACACCCCGAACACGAATGTTGCATCGCCGACCTCTGTTATCCACATCTTCGAGGTGGCGACGCATATTCAGCAGCATCTCGCCCTGCCTGGCCACAGCATTGTCTGTGGACGCCACGCGGGCCGTGAGGGCCGCATCCGCCTCCTCCAACGCGGTAATGCGGCCTGCTTGCGTAGCAAGGTCGGCGCGGAGTCCTGCCACCTCCGCCCGCAGGGTCTCCTGTATTGCAGTTGTGTTGGTTTGTAGGTCAGTTTTCGTGGCCATAGCCACAGTCATTTCCCTGAGGGCACCTTCAATCCTCTCCAGTGCGTCATTAGCAGCGGCCTGATTCGGCTCCGACGCCATCTTGGGACTCGCGGGACCACCGCTTGCTCCGGGTTGCGGCTGGAAAAAGCCGTCAAGAGGTCCCAGCTGGGGGTTCCCTGGGGTCTGGGGGTGCTCCGAGCGTTTTGTACGCCCCATGAATGCGAATATGCCGCTGATTAATGCTGTAACGGGGGTTCGGCGGAGCGGAGCTCACTCCTTATGCGGCCATCTTAGACGGAGCCGAAACCACGCCCCCTCACTTTTACATTTCAAGTAAAGCCATACCCCCTAACAGCATCCAGGTAAGCAGGATGTCGGTGGGTGGGGTTAAAGGGTGGGCCACGGAAGTGTATACAGTCTGGGACAGAGGAAAGGTGTATGTATTGAGTGTAGAAGAAAGGGGACATGCAGGGCCGTCTTTAATAACGAATGGACCCTGGGCAAGTGTTTGCTTGGGCCCCCCGTGCCCTGCCGCTCTCGCCCCTCACTCCCTGGTATGCAATCACGGCATCCATCCCAACGCAGTGGCGGTACTAAAGTAGAATGAATTTTATTGGGACCCCTAATTGCAAGGTTGGACTAAAGGTAGAACCCCATCTGTCGTGCAACTCCAACAATGCTTTGACAGCTGGGACTCTACCAATTTCCCATGCTTGCAGGGTTGTATTTAGCACTGAGCCATGTTAGTATGTTTTGAATGTAAGCATGTTTGTATGGAGTATGTTTGTGTGAATGTGTTTGTATGTGGTACTGGAGTTTGAATGCAAGTGTGCATTTATGTGTAGTGTTTGTTTTTGAATGTAGGAGTGTGCTTGTATGTAGTGTTGACGCTTCAATGCAGGAGTGTGTTTTATATGTAGTGTTGAAGTTTGAATGGAGGGGTGTATTTGTATTTAAAGTTGCGGCTCAGATGCACAGGTACACACTCTGACGCACAAACAGATACACAGATACATACACTGACTACATACAGATAAACAGGCACATACACTGACAGACACACTGACACAGGTACATATATTGACACACACACAGACACATACACTGGTAGACGTACTGACAGACATACTGACACAGGCACATATACAGACATACTGACACACAGACACATATACCGACATACTGACACACACACACAGACACATACACTGATCAACATACTGACACACACACACTGACAGATATACGGACACCCACATACACTGAGAAATACTGACACACACACACAGGCACATACACTGACACACACAGACTGATATACTGACACACACACACAGACAGATATACTGACACATGCATACACATGTGTAGAATATTGCATATTCTGTATGTTCCTATTCAAATACATATTAAGGTGTGGCTGTCTAATGGGTTAAACAGAACAGATGGTGTTTGCTACTCTGTAATATGAGGTCTCTGGAATTTCCTGTATAAGAGATTTGAGGCGGTCTTTATATAGGGAACTTCCTTATATGGCAGGGTCTAAACTAAACATTATGACGTAATTTGGGGTATATAGAGTCAAGTACAAAGGAATACGGATTGGTCAGAACATTAGGACAATCCTGCTTTTAAGATGTATTACATTAATAAGTCATCACAATTAAGGTCTAATGAGGAGAGTGATGATAATTAATTTAAAGTATTCTTTCCAAGTTCTTTTAAAGTAAACCATTCTCTGATTGAATGTAAAGTTTGTTACTACAAGGTGGAATCTTAGTGAAAATTATAATTATGTGAACAAAAACAAATCTATGATAGAAAGATTTCTGGGTGGAGAATTTCTAGAACAATAAGTATTGTCAACACCATGAACATTATTTGAAGAATTATTATAGAACTTCATGGTTGATAACACATCCTTTGAATGAGACTTATAAGTAGTGTTGATATATTTCAGGTAGTGAGAGCCTACTGAATATTCAAATTAAATACTATGATTGTAAAGTACTGATACAATCATCACTAGATGGTATTAATGGTATAGGAATGTAATTAATGAATACAAATGACCTAAAGATTTTAAGGTTGCTAGAAACCATATGATTCATGGAAATATAATTGGACGTATATTATAGTAATACATGTATTAGTACTTAAGTAATATCAGGTATTGAGAATGAAAATACTATGCTATATGTGTCTGTAGGAATATGATAGTGATACACAGTTATTATTATTATTTAGAAAGTTATCATCTTGATTTTGTTATCTACAAAGATATGACTGTACCTGAGCAGGTAGATCTTTCTGATTGCTTTACATTGTTTATTGGATCAACATTTGTAAATATTGTATTTTATTCATTTATTATTGTTATATATATATATGTATATATTATGTTCAAGTAGTTATGATGTAACATGGATATGGATATCAATACATAGCTGAAACAGAGGAGTTTTGAAGTAAAGTAAGCGGTATGAGGGAAAGAAACTCGACCTTCCAAGAACTCTCATATAATAGAAACGTGACTACATCTTGTTCTATGCTCAATGAATGTGATACAAGTGATGTATGAATGGACAGGTTATATACATTGTGTTATGGTTTTAAAACAAACCATAAACAGAGGGAATGTAGAATATTGCATATTCTATGTTTCTATTGATTATATATATGGATGTGTGGATTGACATAAGTAACAGATGGTATCAATAAGTCACAAGGCTTTCTTTGTCCGAGAGCTCTGGAATGTGGATGTGGAGGGTTTTGTCCTTATATGGCTAGAGTTATATGCTGATGTTAGTATTAGCACTTCTATATAGTAACAGAGGGACACGAGGTCTCTCAGTCTTAGTCCTGTCTTGGCTTGGCTCTGTACAACGATGTAACTCTCCCATCAGAAGTCCAGCAATTACCATCTGCTGTTGAATGTCTATAATCCTGTAACATCATTTATTATGCTTTATTATGTATCCGTAACAAAGAATAAACCGGAAGAAACCGTAAGTCAGATTGCGTATTACTACTTTTCAATAATATAGACATATATTATTGTGGCGAGCATTTGGCCCAAGAATATATATACAAAAGACGTATATATATCAATCAACTGAAGACAAGAAGAAATTAAGAATCATCAACATAATACATCCATTCATCTAGTTTTTTACAACATGCACTAACAGACATACTGACGCACTGACAGACATACTGATACATACACATACTGACACACACAGATATACACACACATATATACTGACACACAGACAGACATACTGACACACACACACACAGACATGCTGACACACACACAGACATGCTGACACACACACACATACACTAACACACACATACACTAACACACACACACACCAACACACATACACCAACACACACATACACTAACACACACATACACTAACACACACACACAAACACACACACACAACACACACACACACACACACACACACACACACACACACACACACACACACACACACACACACACACACACACACACTAACACACACATACACAAACACACTAACACACACACCAACACACAAACACATACACTAAACACACAACACACATACACTAACACACATACACTAAACACAACACACACTACACATACACACACACACAACACACACTAACACAAACACAGACACACCAACACACATACACTAACATACACCAACACACACACATACACTAACATATACTAACACACACACACTAATACACACACACTAACACACACACTAACACATACACTAACAGACACATACACTAACACACACACTAACACACACATACACTAACACACACACTAACACACACATACACTAACACACATACACTAACACACACACATACACTAACACACACATTTATTTATTTTTTTTTAAATGTAATCCCCCCAGCCTCCTTACCTTTTGGAGTGCTGGGGGGATTCCCTGGGGTCCAGTGGTGCTGCTGACACCCGGAAGGCGGGTGGCCGGTCGGGCAGGCGCGCGGGCGAGGGAGCACTCAGTGCTAACTCTTCAGCTCCCTCACGCACCGCACTGATACCGGAGCCGGAAGATGACGCCATCTTCCGGCTCCGGCATCCCTACACGGCGCGCGAGGGAGCTGAAGAGGTAGCACAGAGTGCCCCCTCGCGCGCCTGCCGGACCGGCCACCCGCCTTCCGGGTGTCAGCAGGGCCAGCCTCGGGGGGCCCTGGGGTGGTCGGCTCCTGGGCCCCCCAGGGGAAGAGGCTGGCCCTGTGGCTACATACCGGGTCGCAGGGGCGGCCGGGCCCCCAGGTGGGCCGGGCCCGGTTGCAGCCGCGACCCCTGTGACCCTGGTATGTACGCCACTGTTCCAGACACAGAGTCGCCTGGGCAGGATTGTGTGTCCATAAATGGAGACCCCATGCTGGGGGTCTGTGTATAAATTCTGTGTGCCTTGCCTGAATAAACCAGATCTACTCCCAGCACTGGCGTACATACCGCAGTTGCAGGGGTCGCAGCTGCGACCCTGTATGTATGCCAGGAGCTGGCCACATCAGGGCCCCCCGAGGCTGGCCCTGGTGTCACCGGGCGGGCACGAGGGAGCACTCTCCCCTGAGCGCTCTCCGCCCAGCTCCCTCGCGTGCACCGCACTTATGCTGGAACTGGAATATGACATTATACTCCAGCTCCGGCATCAGTAAGCGACGTGAGAGGGAGCTGGGCAGAGAGCGCTCAGGGGAGAGTGCTCCCTCACGCGTCCGCAGGACCGGCCGCTGGGCAGCCGCACTGGACCCCAGGGAATCCCCCCAAAACTCCCAAAGATAGGGAGGCTGGGGGATTAAATCTAAAAAAAAAAAAAAGAAAAAAAGAAAAATCATGTGTGTATGTTTGTTAGTGTTACAGTGTGTGTGTTAGTGTAATTTTTTGTGTGTTACTGTGTCTGCTAGTGAGTGTCA